ATACAGATCTCCCCAGAACTCTTCAACTCGCTCAACTGAAGGCATCTTAGCCGGCGCAGGCGTAGGCGGCTCGAACCAGCGACTGGGATCAGAATGGAAGACAGAATTATCTACCAGCCGACGCAACCGCTGTTCCAGAGACCGCTTCATGGTCCCCAGAACGCGCACTCTCTTAACAAACCTCTCCTTAATCAAGAGGAGGACTGCTTTATTCAGTGTGTGATGGTGGTAGCGCAAATTCGCGGATATTTTACAAATGTGCGCCGTAAAAGGCTTACCACCGATGATGAAGACAATCACACACTGAATGCGCGACGCCTGCTTCCTAGCCTCATCGACTTTCCCTTGGAGCTGTGCAATGCGCCTCCGCGTTTTCACCTCAAATAACCCTTTACTTGGGTTCTGAGGCTTCAAACGAAGAGCCGCATCATACACAGCCCAGTTCAGATCGAGCAAGTTGATATCCGGAGGAAGGACTGCGGCCAGACCCGCATTCTCAATGGCCAGATCTTCAGGCCGGAGACGGAACTTCCCTGTGACTCTCTCTCGTCTTGCCCCTATATCACGCGAGGACCCCTGAGGCTCTTCATGGCTCTGTTGGGTCGGCTGCTCTGACTGTATATCCTCACTTCTCTGAGATACTACAAGAGGAGGAGGATCCATCAGCCCCCGTGAAACGACAAGCAAATCATATCTCTGTCGGCGCAAGCGACTGGCTTGATCTCTCAGATGCTGAATTGTGAAGTGCGATAACTCAGGGTGCATTGCGCACCACAAGCTTCGCATTCTTGCCATGTAGCCCACTTGCGCCGGTACACTGTCCTGCCAACATTGCATGAGGTCCTCCTTGAGTTCCTCCGTCCACCTAATCCTTTGGACAGCCGGGTTGTTACCATTGGATCCAGATCGTTCACCCCTCCCAACTGATCCGCGGTCCCCATCCGAGAGGGACCGATTGTGGGGGGCTCTGCCGCGGCTAGATGACGGAACCGGGTATAGGTGTCGCCGGGTTGTTGGTAGATGCCTCCAATTGATGCATCGGTATGCGGTAGTACCTTCAGGAGCTCAAGTGTATTCATAAGACGATGGTACGCAGGACAATTGTCGGGGCCTTGTGACCCATGTAGAAAATGTTTCCGGTTCGACACCTGCTCGGCTGTTCAGACGCAACTAACGTAACTGTGTGGTGAACCTCTATCAAATAGTTTAGTATTCTTTTTCAGCCACTGTAGTCGACAATAACTTGTCTTATTGAGTCAATTTCCAACGAATTATCGTATTCAACTTATAACAGACAATTTACATTTTGCTTTGTTGCTTTGTTGAATCGTACTTCGATACGAACTCTCCCACTCTTTACGAGATTCCAATGACCAGCAGAACATGCAGATAAATCGGGAGTCATGTCAAAGGCGAATAAACAAAACCCGTCGGAATATGCTAGACGAGAAATGTTATTTCTATGGTCACTAAAATGCGTTCCAGACTCCACAAATAAGGTATTAAAAGCTACCACATCTAGATACCCGTCAGAGGTAAAACCCGGTTCCAGGGGTTTCGTAAATACTTGGTGTCCGTCGCCATTTAGGCATAAAAAGTTGATTCCGAAATTCTGGAAGTTGAAGGGATTCTTCTTCCTTCTTCCATTGAAACTGGCATTGTCGCCAAATCCAGTTGGCCTAAAATTGCGTTAACTATCGTCTCTCCCATAATTCCATTATGCAGAACAAAAGATTTAACCTCAACACGGGTCAAGGGTTATTTTACAGTTGTCTTTGCAAGCGTTTTAGCGTGAGCTATCAATATTCCAGGACTGATTTTCACGCGTCGAACAATCAATGAGGCCTCCACAATATTTACTTTATAATTAAGTGTAGTATCGTCCATGAGACAATATTCATCCTTTGCGCGGGTAAGACGAACACGTAGCTCTACACCGTTCATCAAAAATTTATCTTAATTGAAAACATCACAATGCAAATGTCCCAGCAGATCAAATGGTCTTCCACCTTTCGTAAATACTTGTCAAGAGATTAGGCCATTATTTTTTTTCACTTCAGCGCCCACAACAATAGCGGTATCCATAGCGCCAGAGGTATCAGTTGACCATAGTGCCATTCCAAGATACGAGGACTTGGCATCTTCTTCATAGTTTAGCAACGTTACAATATCTGCTCTATAGGCGTAGAGGTTATTTGGCGGCGTAACAACTTTTTAATTGAAATATACATCCGTGTGTGCCAAATCGACGTACTCTTCTCCATGGCCTGGTACGATAAATTCGATTGGGGTGTCGCCCGATAAAGTAGACACAGGATTATAATAAACAAATTGAGAATTTTCAATACTTATCTGCGTCGGGGGTATACACTGAGAAAAAAAATTACTTTTGTCAAGGAATCATTTTCTTGGGAGAAGAATCTATTTTTTTAGAAGCGCATTTCTCCAAACCAGTTATTCCCAGGTAGTTGAAGTCCATCTCCAAATATTACCATTATGCGGAATTATGGGATAATTATGCTGTATATGATTTTGAATGAACTCCATTGACAANGGTATCCATAGCGCCAGAGGTATCAGTTGACCATAGTGCCATTCCAAGATACGAGGACTTGGCATCTTCTTCATAGTTTAGCAACGTTACAATATCTGCTCTATAGGCGTAGAGGTTATTTGGCGGCGTAACAACTTTTTAATTGAAATATACATCCGTGTGTGCCAAATCGACGTACTCTTCTCCATGGCCTGGTACGATAAATTCGATTGGGGCGTCGCCCGATAAAGTAGACACAGGATTATAATAAACAAATTGAGAATTTTCAATACTTATCTGCGTCGGGGGTATACACTGAGAAAAAAAATTACTTTTGTCAAGGAATCATTTTCTTGGGAGAAGAATCTATTTTTTTAGAAGCGCATTTCTCCAAACCAGTTATTCCCAGGTAGTTGAAGTCCATCTCCAAATATTACCATTATGCGGAATTATGGGATAATTATGCTGTATATGATTTTGAATGAACTCCATTGACAACTATTGACATTTAGAATTATTACAAAATATTTTACGTAAGAAAATCTCAAATTTGAAAAAATCGAAATCTAATGAAGGGTTTTCATTCAAGGTCATATGTAGCATCATCATCTCATAATTAAACATAATTGTAATTCACACTCGGAAGAGTGCGAATGTAGAAACGACATGATGATTAGTTGAAAATATCGCATAAATCGCGAGTCTACCTCTTGGATTTATTTTTTTCCCTTTTTTTCCTTTTTTTCTTATTTTTTGGAATATTTCTCTTTTTTTATGCTTCCTCGTTTTGGATGTTTTGGCAGACCCGCGTCCAGTGAGCTTATGTGATGCGAGGCATTTACGCTTTCTTTTATATCCTGATCCACGCATCATGGTTATTAGTCTTAACATTCCTTTATTTCTGCCAATTCCATTAGTAGTATGCTTCCGAATGGATCCGTTGCAATTCTATTTCAAAAAACTTCGATTGCAAGAGGAAAACGCACCATTCTCATGATAACCTTCCTTTGAAGTGGAAAGGTGTAAAACTGAGGTTTTTACATTTGTTGATTTTTCTTTCTTCATTCTATTCCATCAATTTTCAATGTTTTCATTTTTTCGAATTTCAGGAAATTCAAATGAAAAAGAAATTGAAAAAATTGGTCTGGGTTGTTGGTCGCTCGCTTCGCTCGCTCCCACTTCTTTTCAACTTGAGTGGGTTAACTTTAAAGTTGCAAAATTTTCCACTCCAATATTTTTCAACTTTAAAGTTGACCCACTCCAAACTTTTCGAACTTCAATGTCAAACTCACTTCCAAATTCCCCAACTTGAAAGGTTACCCACTTCAAAATTCCCCGACTTGAAAATTCAATTTCAAAATTTCCTCAAATTCAAAATTGACCACTTCAAAATTCTTCAACTTCAAATTTGACTCACTCCAAAATTTTCCAACTTTCTTTTTTTTTATTGCAAAATTCGAAAGTTTCATGTCAAAAACTCAACAACCACTGAGGCGATTTCGCTCAAAATCCAATGAGAATCAAGTTATGTAGGAACGCATCGATTACACAAAATTAATTCAAATCACATTGTTACCTTAGGTAATATGATCGAATTTCTATGAAATTAACACTTTTTGGCATGTTTTACAAATTTTATGCGGATAAATAAAAAACCGCTGAGTCAATTGTTTTCATAAACTAAATAGTTTTAAGTTACATGGAGATGCGTCGATTGAAAAAAAAATCAAATTACATCGTTGATTCAAGAGAACTCGTGTTCCAAAATTTTCGGGTCACATACATTCACACACACACACACACACACACACACCTCCGACCAACTGCTACCTTGCCGCGGTGGAGGGGCTTAAAGAGTGGATGTACCACTCCACTCTACTAAGAGCAGTTGAAGCCCCCCCCCCCAATGGCAAGGTGTTCACCGTGCTGATTTCTGGAAGGCGCCAGGGGTAGCTGGCGTCGCAAACGGTGTTCCCTGGGGCACCAGGTCCCACCCCAGGTGTATTAAGTGGCCTAGTCTCAGCAACCGGGGCTCTGCTGAGGTGGTCTGGCATTTCCCTAGGTACTCGTGGGATAAATATGAAGAATCAAGCAAACAAACTACAAGAAGCAGAAACAGGGGCAGCAGATGAGAGAAGTCAAGCGTGAGATAGGCTTGCAAGGCTTATCAATAACCTTCATGAGTTAGTTCAACCTAGAGTGAACGTTCACAAGGAGAAAGTGACTAGCATCAATAGTGCCTTCAGAAGATTGAGAGCTTTGGAAGAATCTCGAGGGGGAGCGAAACAGCCTGCTCCTCAAGCAGAAACGAGCAGACAGGGCTTATTGTCTGTACGTCAACGGACACTATCCGAGATTACACCGAAGGACTCTGAGGTAGAAACTGAGGACACATCATCCGTGGGAGATTCTTGGAAGAATCAAAGCTCCAAAGACGTTACCAAATACTCCCCGGAGTAGTAGGAGAATGGGCAAATCAGCATCTAGGTCCGATGCATTGATCATTCGCCCAAAAGATGAGGTGAAGTATGCCGAGATTCTAACGAAGGTGAAGAAGGATGTTCCTCCAGATGAGGTGCTAGGGTGCGTTGATAAGATACGCAGAACAGCCACAGGGGACATGCTCATTGTCTTAACCAAAGACAGTGCTAGCAATGCGCAGGTATTGCACAACCCATAAGCGCAACCATATTGCAATCAACCATAGCTAGTCTCCTCGGGGAAGACGCTGAAGTTCTTAGCAAGGGCCCTCAGGAGAACATCGAGATCAAAGACCTCGATGATATGACAACGAAGGAGGAAATTTTGAAAGCCCTATGCAAAACAGCGGGCAACGAGGTGCAGATGACGCAGGATGCCATAAAATCCTTGCGAAAGGCCTACGGAGGGACACAGACGGCCTTGGTGACACTGTCTGTACTCGTGGCGAAGAAGATCTTGGGGGACCACGGCAAAATCCGGATCGGCTGGGTTAATTGCCGAGTGAAAAGAGTAGAGAGACCAGTTAAGTGCTTCAAGTGTTGGCACTACGGGCACCTCGCCACGAAGTACACGAGTACAGTCGATCGGTCCAAACTCTGCGTCAAATGCTCAGCGACCGGCCACAAGGCTTTAGACTGCACGGAGCAGCCGCAATGCGCCTTGTGCACCGAGAAAGGCTACACGGAGAATTGTGCCCACATTGCTGGTAGCAGTAGATGCCCAGTGTATAAGAAGGCACTACATACAGAGGGTTCTCAATACGGGAAGATGAAATTACTCCAACTCAACCTCAACCACTATGAGGTCGCGCATGACCTGCTTATGCAGACGGCGCATGAATAGAAGCCTGATCTTATGATTATCTCAGAGCCGTATCGTCACCTGGACGTTCAACCCTGGGTTACTGATGCGAGTACGAAGGCGGTAATCTGGGCGTGTGACAAACGGCCATTTCAAACCACAAGTAATAGTACACAAAATGGCTTCGTGAAGGCGAAGGTTGATGGAACTTATTTCTACAGCTGCTACGCCCGGCCGAGCCTTTCCACTGAAGAATTCAACGACTTCTTAGATCGACTGACTGAGGATGCGAAGCAGCACTTCCCTGTGGCAATAGCCGGGGACTTCAATGCCTGGGCAGTCGACTGAGGAAGTAAAGAGACGAACACCAAGAGGCAAGCTGTACTGGAAGCCATGTTATCGTTGGACGTAGTCCTGCTGAGCAGCGGCGATGATCCGACTTTCGTGAGGGAAGAGTCAAGCTCAATTGTGGACCTCACCTTTGTGAGCAGCAGCCTTGCAAAGGGCAACTGCTCATGGAGAGTAACTGATATCTACATCGCGAGCGACCACTGTGCGATAGTCTGGGAGACATGTCCTCGCCAGAAAGTCACCTCGATGCCTAAGAAGACAAATTGCATTGGCTGGAGAGTAAAGACCTTTGAGCCTAGCTCCTTCGCAGCCGCACTAGACGCCCACCCAATCAGTGGCAGCAATGCTACTAAGAAGGCGCGGAACGTCATTAAACGAGTAACAAAAGCATGTGATGCCACCATGACCAGGAAGCGGGCCACAAACCGGCATCCACCGGTCTACTGGTGGAATAACACCATCGCTACCCTGCGCAAGGAGTGTTAGAACTGCTAGAAGAACTCAACGTGGCTGCAAAAAACCGAACTCCGAGGGGCTGCGAATGAGGTATAAGAAGGCACGCCGGAAACTCATCAAAGCTATCAAGTGCAGTAAAAAGCAATCTTGGAGTGAGCTTCTTGATGAGGTGGAAGGTGATCCATGGGGTAGACCTTATAAAGTGGTGATGACGAAACTCGAGAGTCAACCAATGCCATCGCCTACGTGTCCGGTGTTGATGAAGGAAATCGTCACGGTCTTGTTTCTGCAACAACCGGAACTTCATCGTCCTGTCGGAACGGGAGAAGAGATAATGTTGCCACTAATCACGAAAGAGGAGTTGATGGAAACCTGCAATAGGGTGGGTAACACCAAGGTCCCTGGTCTCGATGGAATCCCCAACATCGCCCTGAAGGCAGCTATCCATACGAGGCCAGAGATGTTCTTGGATGTGTACAACGATTACCTAAGGGAGGGCACCCTCCCTGCCATGTGGAAGCAGCAGAGATTGGTACTACTCCCAAAGGGGAAAAAATCACCGGACGACCCGTCATCGTACCGTCCGCTCTGCATGCTCGATACCGCGGGCAAAATCCTCGCGCGTATTGTCCATCAATGAATAGAAGCGACCGTCGAACCCCTGTTGGCAGACAACCAATAGACTTCCGAAACGGCCGGTCCACTCTGGATGCGATCAGTCTGGTCGTCGACACTGCCAAGAACGCGATCTCAGGAAAAAGATGGCTGAATGGTGCGAAGAAGTATTGCCTAGTGGCGACACTAGACATCAAGAATGCTTTCAACTCGGCCAGATGGGACTATATAATGGGAGCTCTCAGGAAGTTTAATGTACCGGAATACTTGCGGAAAATGATTGGCAGCTATTTCACCGGAAGAATCCTGAAGTACGACACGGAGGATCGTCCTGAGGAGTACAGAGCCACCGGAGGTGTACCTCAAGACTCGGTATTGGGTTCCTTGTTGGGGAACATCATGTATGACGGTCTACTGAACCGTCATTCATGATGCCACGGGAAACTAAACGCATGGCATTTGCGGATGATGTAGCCGTAGTTATCGTGGGCAAATACCTGGAGGCGATCAACATTAGTTTCGACATGACCTTCGAGACGATCTGTCGCTGGATGAACACTGTGGGACTGAGCCTAGCTGAACGTAAGACCGAAGCCATGCTTATCACTAGCAGGAAAAAAGTTGAGGAAATCACGCTGCAAGTCGGATCCTGTGAAATCACCTCCCAACCGTACATCCGAAACCTGGGAGTGATGATCGATGCCCGACTTAATTTCAAGCGGCAAGCTGAGCACGTAGGAATTAAGGCTTCTGGAGTCAAATCCAGTTTATGGCGCCTCATGCCCAACATAGGAGGTCCAAAACAGAGAAGACGAGCATTGCTGTCGTCGGTGGTCACATCGGTGCTCACCTACGGCATTTCCATCTGAAAGTTACAGGAATCACAGCGAAGAATTGCACCAGTCTATCGACTAAGTGCCCTGCGAGTCACGAGCGCATATCGTACGGTGTCCGAAGATGCGGCGTGCATTATAGCCGGAATGCTCCCTATAGAAATGTTGGTCGAGGAACGAAGGTCATTGTATCAGCGGAGGAAATCTGAGACACTAAGCGCAATAGAACTCAGCGCAGAAGAGAGACGAAAGAGTCTACAGCAATGGCAGGAGAAGTGGGACAACTCGTCGAATGGAAGATGGACTCATCGGCTGATCCCACAGGTGAGTGCTTGGTTAAACCGCACACATGGTGAGGTTAATTATTACCTGACGCAAATTTTTTCGAGACATGGGTGCTTCCGGGCGTATCTTCATAAATTCAAAAATGAGGATACCCCGAAGTGCCCAGTCTGCACCGAAGTCGACGAAGACGCGGAGCATATGTTTTTCAGATGCCCCCGCTTCAGCGAGATGCGGCGTGTTTGGGAATCTGACCTTGGAAAAGAGGTCTTGCCTGAAACCATGGTGGAAGCTATGCTGTCATCGCAGGCAGCCTGGGATGCAACGATTAACTTTGCGGCGGCAGTGATCAAGGAACTCAGAAGGGAAGAACGTGAGCGCTAAACTACAGCATAAGTGAGAAGTGTAATGAAACCTCTCGTTGACAGCCAACACCTTAGCAGAATGAGGGGAACCACGCTAGATGGAAAACGTGAAAGAGCCAACTGCCGAGACCTCCCTCGTGAAGTAATACTTTACGGTGGTGCCGCGAGGGAAATAAAGGTTAGTGGAAATATGCCTGACTGGAGTTTAGTGGGTATTGGCAGTGGGAGTCACACTCACTACCCGAGTCCCACACTCACTTAACGGAGGGAAACACCTATCCCCTCCCTCTGGTAGTCGTGCGTAAATGCATTCTCCCCACAGACAAAAAAAAACACACACACACACACACATACAGACATGTGTTCAAAAACATCATAGAAAGATTTCAGGAGTCATGAAACGTGGAGATGTTATTAAATTTCCACTTTCGATTTTCGGGGTCATTACAACAACTTCCTCCCTTCAGGTCGGGAAGTTAGTAATCATCATTTGCGAATTGGAAAATTCCAAAATTATAATAACTAGTGATCGCGTTTTTTCCATGAGATCGGCGACGTATCTATGCAATTGGGGTTTTGCATGAAAATTTTTTATTGTTGAATATGAAAATCGAATGAAAAATATTACATACGTATTTTTTTATTTTGAAAAATAATCAAAAATGAACAAGTCGTAGGCAATTGAAAACGTCTAACTTACGACGCCACGCCAAAACGCTCATATACGAACCATTGTGACGTCATAAGTTCAACGTTTCTTCAATTGGCTATAACTTTTTAATTTCTCATTTTCTTTCAAAATAAAAAAATACATATGTAATATTTTCCATCCCATTTTCGCATTTAACCATTTCTTTTAATAAAAAAATTTCATGGAACAACCCAATTATCCATTGAGATTCTTGTTTTCATTTCTTGTGGTGTTGTTTTCTCAACTTAATTCCTTCAATTTTCAAAATTTCTAAAATTTTCCATTTCAAGAATTTCGAGTAGAAAAAAATCAGAAGTATTATTTTTGAAATAACTAAACAACCGCTGAGACGTTTTTTTTTTCAATTCAGTCAGATATACTCTACACAAAGACGCATCGATTGCATGAAAAATAATTCAAATCGCATCATTTCATCAGGAGAAATAGCCAAATTTGCAAAAAAAACATAATTTTTGACGTTTTTTCACATGTATTTTGCAAATAACTGAAGAACCGCTGAATCGATCGTTTTTGAAAACTAATCAGTTCTAAGTTACATGGAGATGCGTCCATTGAAAAAAAAAATTTCACATTGCACTGTTCCTTGAAGAGAAATCATAGCTCAAATTTTTTTGCGTCACAGGCATTCGCGCATACACACACACACAGTCGGACATATGTTCGAAAACATTGTAGAAAGATTCGAGGAGTCATGAAACGTGGAAATATGATTGAATTTCAACTTGTGATTTTCGGGATCATTACAATAACTTCCACCCTTCGGGTCGGGAAGTTAAAAATTCAAAATCGGAAAAAACGAGGCGAAAACCGAACGAAAATCCATGCAAACTCCATAAGAGACGTTTAAAAACCGAAAAAAATGCACGCATTTTGGAAATAATTCAACTTAAAATTTGACGCTGAAAAATTGGACGACACCGGAACAGAAAAATTTGAAAATGAAAAAATCCAGCACGGATAATTTCTACGGGAGAGAAAGCGAGCAAAAATATCTGTCATAAAAAATTTCTTTCACAAAAAATTTCGACACTGAAAAATTAGAGGAAAACCAGAATAGAAACATTCAAAATCGAAGAAAAACGAGACGAAAACCGAATGGAAAATACATGTAAACTCCATGAAAGACGTTTAAAAACTGAAAAAAATGCACGCATTTTGGAAAAAATTCAACTCAAAATTTGACGCTGAAAAATTGGACGACACCGGAACAGAAAAATTCGAAAACGAAAAAATCTAACACGGTAAATTTCAAGGAGAGAAAACGCGAGCAAAAATTTCTCTCACATAAAATTTCTTTCAAAAACCTTTTCGACACTGAAAAATTGGACGAAAACCGGAATAGAGAAATTCAAAAACGAAAAAAACGAGCCGAAAACCGAATAGAAAATACATATAAACTGCATAAGCGACGTTTAAAAAACGAAAAAA